AGTGCTTGAACACTTCATGCATCACAAGCCGAGACACTGCCTTCAATTCGAGTGCTCGCAGGCTCAGTTCGAGCACTCGAATCTGCAACCCTCTCCTCTCGGCAAGCTTTCCATCCAACCCCTCCCTCACAAACCCAAATCATCCTCAACCATGCACCATGCCGAGTGCATCTCGGCATCTCTCATACCAACCAAACCAGCTTCTCCCCCCAAACTAACTCACCCCTAAACTCCCTCTCTCTCGGCAACATACACCACCACCCATCAAACCATCCTGCATGCCATCCCTCACATTCTCTCCCTCTCGGCTCCACCACCCCAACCCTCCTTACCACCATCTCTCTCTCTTCAACCGAGCTCATCTCTCACCTCAAAACCAACCATCTCTCATCAACCCACAAACCACACCCAACCTAAACCACCACACCTCATCCTCACCCTTCCCTGCAAACCCACTTCCATGCAACCCAACTCACCAATCCCTTCACCCTCACCTCACCACCACCCCCCCACACTCTAGGCCACCACTCAACTTCAGCATCACCAACCCAACACAAACCCAACGCCGAGCCCTCTACCAAAGCTTTGCGCACTCGCCGAGCCCATTCGAGTGCTCGAAGCTAACCCATCTCCTTCACCTTCCTTTAGAACCCAAAACGATCTCTGCAACACCCCATGCACATCCCCACCCTCCATTCTCACCTCACACACACCATTCCCATAAACCACCACCCTCTCACCATCTCCCACCCCACAACCTCATCTCCATGCAACCCACTCCCATGCATGCCCCTTCCCTCACCACCATGCAAGCATACCCCAACCTCACCACCCACACCAAACCACCTCACCCCCCCAAAACAACCAACCACCCCCTCATGCATGCATTGCATGTCACCCACCACCCACCCAGCTGAGCACCAACTCTCCCCATGCATTGCTCAACCTCACACCTCAACCAACCCCATGCGAGCTCACTTCTAGTGCTCGCTGCAACAACTCTCTCTCTCGGCTTCTCTCTCTCTCACTAACCAATTCACCATCCTTGCTTCCTCTACCACCCTTCGCTGCACCAACCAACCCTACCATCCCAACCCTCTCCAACACCCCAAACCCATCTCGGCTTCAACCTCCAAAACCCACCACCCATCCAACCTTCTTTCATTCTCTAAAAAAAGAAAAAAAAATTAATATAGATTTCTATCTTTTATTACAATTCCTATTAGTCCTATTTTTTTGTCTGTTCTTGTTCTCCTTACGAGACCAATGCTTTTACCTGTATATTTTAGTTGTGTTTTGATAGGTCTTTATATCCAAGTTTGGGGGACGCCGTTGCGCACTCATATGGCTGAACATCTACGTCATCATCACTCGACTTGGTATTATTGTTCTTTAACCCTCTCTATTCTTATTTTCATTTACTTGTCTTCTCACATTGAGGACAATGTGACATTCAAGTTTGGGGGTGCATTTATGCATTTTTGGTTTCATAATTTTTGCTAAGCAATGATAGTATAACTTGACACTAGTTGGAGATGAAGCATAGGTTTAATACCTTGTGTATAGAAGCAATTGACATTTTTGAAAATAAAGAAAAATTTGAGTTGAAATGATCATGTGGATTCAAATTAGTCTGTATAAATGTCTCAATTAGATTCTCACTAGATTTGACACTCTTTTAAGCTTCACAATGCACAGATGCACATTAGAAACTTAACTGTGAGGCATGCAACTTGATCAACCTTGACCTTGGCCTAATTAATCTGATTTGATGAACCTGATAGATGAATATCTTTGGCATGATTTAAGTTATCTAAAAAAAAAATGAGAAAGAAAGAAAATAATGACTAGTTGAAGTTCGAAGCCTTTCCAACTCGAGCTATTAAGCCCTATGGAGTGTCTCTACACTTAACACCCTAAAGCCGTCTGGTTTGGGAGTTGTTGGCCTAACACTTGCTACATGGGTTGGTTAGAAAGCTTAAAGGACTTAAACATTGCACGATCATTCAAAAAAAAAAAACTTGTAATAAACATGGTTCGTTGGAGTTTGTAGCCTTTCCAACTTGAGCTATTAAGCCCTAGGAGTGTCTCTACACTTAACACCCTAAAGCCATCTGGTTTGGGAGTTGTTGGCCTAACGCTTGCTACATAGGTTGGTTAGAAAGCTTAAGGGACTTCAGCATTGCATAACCATTCTATGTTTCGCTTATGAGTTACAATAAATTGTCAACAAGCAACAAAAGTTGTCTTGTAAATAAAATCATGCCTTAGGTACCTCATTTAAAGGGGAATTCAATGATTCGAAAACTTGTGCTTTGGAATTGGAAAAGAAAGTAAAAGCCGCATGTTGAGAATCCAATTCACTTTCACTGAAGCTAGAGTTGATTTCCATTCAAAAGATGATAATTGAGTTATTTATATAGACTTTCATGTTGATGCATGTATGTGGAAATGTATTTAGCCAATTTTTGTATCAATACTTCATATATGCAAGGTAGTCTTCCCAATGACCCCATCTCCAGCTCTTTTTCTGTTTCAAGTTATTTTTGAGCTATGTATATATCTCATTTTACCATGGATGATATTGTTGTAGTAGCATGCCCATGGTTGTCTTTTCATTAAGTTTTTCATTGTAGTTTTGCTAAGGGACTAGCAAAATGTAAGTTTGGGGGTGTGATAAGCGCCGAATATTGTATATTCAGGCGCCCTAAATTGCATTAGTTAAGTTCTTTATTTGTGTATTTATGTAGATTATCTCCATTTCCATGTTTTTATTCATTTTCAGGTTCATTGGCCAAAAAGAAGCAAGGTTGAAGTTTTGTTGTAATTTTGGATAAGAAAGGCACAATGCTGAAGCTTGGCCACAGTGGAACCTGACTTTTGTCGCCATTTTTGACCTAGCAAACTTAAGAACTGGACTTCAATCATAACATGAAAGATTTAGAGCTCTGAATCAGTTTTCTAAATATTCAAGCGGTTCATCATTCGGAGTTCAGAGCAGAGAGTTATGATCTTCTTATTAGAGGTGCTCAGAACTGCCTGGCAGCAATGAAAGTCTGTCTTATTCTTCAATTTCGACCAACCATACTTGAGAATTGGATCTCCACCAAAACATAAAGTTTTTAGATCTCTGAATTATCTTTCCAAATCTTCAAATATTTCATCATTTGGAGTTCGGAGGGCAAAGTTATGGCTGTTTTACCAAAGTAGGTCTGGGCGGAGCAAACCAAGCATAGAGCATTCTGGCCAATTTTCGAGTGCTCGAGGCCTTATTTCGAGTGCTCGAAAGTAGGGCAGATTGCTTCATGAGATCAGCCACTTGTGCTCAGAAATTTGCTAACTTTGTATGCTCTCTTTATGAGTTGGTTGGGGATGTTTCTTGGAGGAGAGAGAGGGCTTTTTAGGTGGAGTAACATGTCTACAAAAGAGGGGAGCCATACATTACTTAGGATTATCCTTCATTTTGACAAGAGGGAGGAGAGAGAAGAGAGCAAAAGAAAGGTGTGTTCTTCAAGCTCCAAAGAGGGTGCACGAAAATGGAGATGAGGATGATGCTTCTTCCTTCTTCTAGCTCACCAATGGGCAACTAAACCTCATCTAGGGAGGTGATGAAACCCCTCCCTTGTAAACATGTGTTAGTATAGTTTATTTTTGGGGATTACAATATATTTTTGATAGTCTTTCCATGATCAAGAGCCTCATTTTTGTTGTAATGAATGTTGAATGTTTATAAATGATTATTGTGAGTTATTCATCTTGTCTTGGATGGTTACTTTTCTTAATCATATTGCTTGCACTTCCATGGTGACAATGGAAGTTAGATCATGGAATGGTTTTAATGGAATGGAGTTGGAGAACCTAGATAGTTCATGGCTTAGGGTTTCCCTTTGATGGTCTATACTTGATTCTTAGCTTTATGTGCATTCACCATTTAAATTAGGGCTTGATAATCCTTAACTCAGTAAGCATGTTCTAAGCTACATTTTAGTTTAGGTAGTTGATCATGTGAACCTCTGATGGTTTATTCTTGCCTTCCTATTTAAATGAACTTCTTGAGGATGTTATAGCAACCTAGTATTGTTATGTATCATGACTATCATATATGTTGTTTTTCTCTTAAATTAATCTTAACCTAGCATGTGTATAGGGATGGAGGTGGATTCATTTCCCTAGCCTTCTTTACTTGTACTTCACCCCCTTGAATTCTTGCAATTTATTGTTTTATGCACTTTTAATTTCCTAGCTTAAGTGACATCCAACAAAACCTCTATATACCCTTCATCATTCTAAGAATGATTCTAGACATTTAGGTTGTATTAGACTAGCGCAGTCCCAGTGGTTCGACTTACCCGACCAATAGCCCTATTTTACAATGATTCGTGCTATTGCGAAGGTTGATGTATAGTTGATCAACCGATCAGCTAACTATCCACGACCACAAGGCACCTCTAAGGCATCGCATCCGGCTTAGTTAACTCAATCCCTAGTCCTCTCTAGACTACACTAACACCACGATCTACTAGGCGCCTCCTAGGCGTCCGTGTTTTTTACAAACACTTTCGAAAACTTTTCCCAAAAAAAAAAAAAAAAAAAAAGTAATTTCATTTGTTTTTAAAACACTTTTCCTTTTCCTTTCCCAATGTATGCATGAATGCTTCATGCGTCCCAATGCCGTGGTATCATACAATCAACTCTAACAAATATTATAAGCTTATCAAGATAATTCTCATAAAAGAATAACATGAACATCAATAATCAAATTTTAACCATTAAATATAAGAATTTAAAACACAACCATTTAAACGTGATTTTCAATCCATTTCAACAACAATATACTCACCAATTACTTTCATATAGAAACCCACATGGAGATACAAAATCAATATACAACACTAAGGCAATTTCTCAAAGAATAATCACATTCAAGCACGTTATACATCAAATATAAAAAAAAAATGAGTCATAAGAACCAAAGATTGAGTGAATTAGAACACTCCTACCTTGAAAAAAAGAATTTTCCTCACTAGATCATCAAAGCCTCAAGCTTCTAGCCTCCTCGGCAACCTCGCGGCTTCTCTCTGCAACTCTCATTTCTTTGTGTCTCTCTCAGCTAACTATGTTTTCCTCCATTTTTCTTTCTGCTTGTATCATTACCAAAGTTGCAAAACAGTCTCTTTATAAAGACAATTCCACTGACACCCAACAAAAACACTCACCACTCAAACAAAATGTCAGCCAACAAAACCCACATGAATGAAGCAATACACTCATTTCAAGCCCATCAGACAACCCCGCACGTGAAGGACTAAGTTCAAAGAATTTATGGCCACAAAAACAATTTCGTGGGCCCCACTAATCATTACTTTTTCCTTTCTTTCTTCTTTTTCCCTTTTTCTTTTCTTTCTTTTTCTCTAAATTTTCGACTAACAACACACATTCTTCTTATCTCAAGGCAGATGCAATATATATATGTAAATGCTTACAAGACCACATCAAGCTCCTTAGTGGACCCCACGAATTGAAAACATCAAAACCCATTCTTCCCACATGCGGTTGAACTGCTCCTTCTTAATAAATGCAATGTATATTATATATAATATATATAAATACAATTGCATAAAACAAATCCACTCCTACTAAAAATCTACTAATGGACCCCACAAAATTCATTACCATTTCAAACTTATCTTCCTTTTCCTTCTCTTTCTTTGAATTTCGCCCAAGTGCCCATTTTCCTTCACCATATGAAATTGATACTAGAAATATATAAGCACAAAACCAAATCAATTCTAAAAAAAATCTCCATTAAAAATTAAATACTCAATCTTAGCAACTAAATATCATGAAATAAATTAAATTAAAATTTTAAAAATCCAGGTTATCACAATAACACACATATATAAAGTCCTATACGTGATCACCAAATATATATATATATATATATATATATATATATAATCTTCTAACATAATATTACTAGTATTAACATTAAAATAAACAATTAATAATAATAATACTCAAATAATCAAACAATTAAACAATTAACAATTAACCAAATAGTTAATTAATTAATTTAATTAAACACATACCATTAAGCCACATAACCACATAATCCATTAAAATGCACAAGAAATAAAAATTAAATTTCAATTATATCATTTTGAAAATTAGGGGTATTACATATTCCCAATCATTGCGAAGTTAGAAACCAGAGTCGGGCAAATAACTAGTACATTGAATGCTAGGGAAAAAGGTAAGATGCCTTTGAATTCACCACCCAAGCAACAATTTATTGTGGAGACCAATTCCTCTTTGAAAGGTCCCACAATTGAACATGTCAATGCGGTGACAACCTTGATAAGTGGAAGAATTGTAGATAATCAAGTTGGTATTCAAAATGAAAAGATTGAACCGGTACAACCAAAAGTTGACACCCGTCCTGTCTCACATTCTATTCCTCCTTCATTGTGTGACAACCCGGATTTTTTTTAAGGGTTGAAATTCAATTTATTTCATGACGTTTAAATTGTCATAGTTGATTATTCAAAATTTAAATTGGAGAATTATTTAAATTTAAATTTGGAGATGTACCAATTTAAAGATTTAAATTGGGTTGATTTGGTTTTATATTGCAATTATATATATATATATGCAATGTGTCTGATGGATGCATGTACCAGCCGAGGTGATGAAAGAATGAAATGGGATTGAAAATGAGATGTGTATATGTGGGGCCCACAAGGAATGATGTTTAAGGAAATTTGGTTTTGTTTCATTTTATATGATATATTTATATATATAGAATGTCATGGAGATGGAAGAAGGCAGCAGTGCTGAAATGAAGAGAAAAAATGGAAATGGATGTGATTTTGGTGGGCCCAGTAAAGAGATATTTGATGGACTTGAATTTTGTTGTGTAATATATGTATATATATATATATTTGTGGTGTCTGAAGGAAGGTGGCAGCAAGGTCAGCCGAATGAGATAAGAAGGAGAGAGAAATTGGTTGATTTGGTTTCCTTGTTGCATGTGTAAGATATATATGCATATATATATTTTTGATGTCTATGGAAAGAAAGGAGCAGCCGCAAGTGGGAGAAGAAAGATTGATTTTTTGTGATGGTAAATTGGGAATTTGCGGGTCCCATTTGATGAAATTAATGGATTGAATTATATATATATATATATATATATATATATCATCTGTTGAAGGAATATGGTAAGGAGATGCACCCACCCGAAAATAGAGAAAGAGAAAATGAAATTGGAAATGGTTTGGTATGGGTCCCATGAGAAATGATGTTTAAAGTAGTTGATTTGGATTTTTTTAAGATGCACCCACCCGAAAATAGAGAAAGAGAAAATGAAATTGGAAATGGTTTGGTATGGGTCCCATGAGAAATGATGTTTAAAGTAGTTGATTTGGATTTTTTTAACATTTGTGTATATATATATATATATATATATATATATATATATATATTATATATATATTTTTGGCTTCTGATTGTGAATAGTGGCGGGCCATTAAGAGATATTTTGGCAATTTATTTCCTTGACTTCGTGGGCTGTTTGGAGTACAATTGATTGTATGCGTAATGAAAGAATAAGGAAAAGTAAGAAAAGGAAGAAAATTGGTGGCGGGCCCATGGCATTTGATCATTTTTTTGATATTTTATGTTCATGGTGAGCTGTATTGAGATTTGATTTCTGTCGGTACAATTACCTTTATATTGAGGTGTGTTTGTACACTAAGTGATGATACAGAGAAAAATTAAGAACAGAGAAGAGAATTTAGAGAAGTGCACAGAGTGATATTGTGAAGCACAGATAAGGTGCCGAGATGGACAGACTTGAATAGTCCAGTGGTGATTTTTAATTTTTTTGCAGAGTAGGGATCATCATACCTTGAATGGCTTGGATGATTTTATTTCAAATATTTTGTTGATTGTTATTTTGTTAAAATTGCATATATGTATTTTGTTTAAAAGCATATATATATTTTTGTGAAGCAAATTTATCATGAAACTCTTTGAAATCCTTGTTATGGTTTTTCCTACTGTCTCACCCCCTACAGTTTCAGGTACCGAGGATGAACTTGGATTCATAATTGCAGGCTTAGGTGGAAGAGTTGGAGTTGAGGAATTAAATTATTTTTTTATTTAGAGATTTTTATGTATTTATTTGAGGAAATTGATTTAGTATCAATTTAATTAATTTGAGATGTTATCTTATTCATTTGAGGAAATTTGATTGATTTTGTATCAATAAAGGGTATTTAATTTCTTTTGAGATCCTGGTGTCTTTTATGAAGTATTTTGATTTAATGAAATCGAGGATTTTATTTAGAAAAATTCAGGGCGTGACACATTGCATGTGAATGACCCCTTTGTTGAGAAAGATTTGCCAAATGAATTGAAAATTTTTTGTGTTGAAAATGCTTCCAAAAAGGATTTTCAAAAATTTTTTGAACCAAAGGCTCCATTTTTGGGTGCCTTAAAAGGATTCAACTCTCTTGAAAAACAAAAAGGCAAAGTTAATGAAATAATTGAAGTGTTTAGGCAAGTGAAGATCAATCTTCCTCTCTTGGATGCAATTAGACAAATTCCTGCTTATGCTAAATTTTTTAAAGATCTTTGCACCCTAAAGAGGAAGAACAAAAGTTAAGCACCAAAAAAAGTTGTTTTGACCAAGCAAGTAAGTTACATTTTACAACATAACACCCTTCCAAAATTCCCCAGTTCACCTACTATTTCTTGCATTATTGGTGATCATGTCATTAACCAGGCTCTTCTTAATTTGGGAGCAAGTGTGAACATTCTTCCATATTCAGTATATGTTCAATTGGGCTTAGGAGACTTAAAACCAACATTGGTAGTGCTGCAACTAGCCGACCGATATATCAAGAAGCCCTAGGGTATCAGTGAGGATGTGTTAATCAAAATTGATAAGTTCTTCTTCCCGATCGATTTCGTAGTCATTGACACGGAACCGGTCCCAAATCTCAAGAGCCAAATTCTCGTTATCCTTGGTCGTTCCTTCATGGCAACCGCTAATGCCAACATAAATTACAGGATGGGGATAATGAAAATTTCATTTGGGCACATGAAGGTGAAGTTAAACATATTCAATCCAACCCCAAATTCTTTGGACAAGCATGAAGAGGTTTGTATTGTTGAAAAATGTCTTGAAAGTGAATTTGAAAAATTTGAGTCTTTGTTTGATGTTGAACCTTACAATGGTTCGTTTTCTAAAAAGATTGCAAAGAAAAATGTTTGTAAACCAAGTGTTGAAAGGGCATAGAAGCCTAAGAATTGATTTTACAAAGGACCATCAATCTCACTTAAATCAAATCCAATGAGTTCCTTAGGGAACAATTTGTTGGGTGGGGTTCAAAGTTCTTTCCGCCCTATTAAGGAGGGGATGCATAACAAGATTTTTTATCCTGGCTAAAAGAGTCCAATGTCTTGCTAGAGACGTTAAACACTAGTGGTTCGTAGGGTTCATAACCCTATTCCACCCTCATTTCTATTTTACTTTCATTTCTTGTGTCGTCTAAATACATTTTGGGATCATAAACATTGTTTGAGACTTTGATAGGGATTGCATGTGCTTTCATCTTCAAATTAGGCATTTAGTGCCTGTTCGATCGATTACAAAAGAAGTTCGATCGATCGAACACTGTCTCTGCATATTCCCATCTCTCTGTTCCATCGAGCGAAAACTCTTTGCATATTTCATCTCTCTGTGTATCGTGCGAACTTTCTCTCACATCGATCCAAGAATTTCCCGATCGATCCAATTTTCCCTTGGATCGATCTCAATTCAATACTTAGAAAATTTTTCGAAACTCTGAAAAATGTCCTCTCTATCTATCGTTCGAATATTTCTGCAGGTTTTCACCTGTTGGATTGATTGAGTTTCAATCGATCAATCTTCGATCGATTTGTGTTCCTCCATTTGACTTTGACTTTGTAAATTTCAAATTTCAAAATTAAAATCATAGAAAAAAAAAAAAACAACAACGAGTGAAAAGAATAAGTGCACCTAGTTGAATAAAATTTTAATAAAAAGGTCTATTCTTTGTCTTGATGATCAGTACTAGATTTGTCTGCTAGCTTGAGGCCGGATGTGATCATTTCTTTAGTTGGCTTAGATAGTAACATATTTGATGTTAGTTCACTTAAAAAGGGTTCTAGAGTTGTTTTGATTTGCATGATCATTGTCTTAGTGTAGAGGACCATTTTTGCTTGCATATTGTTGAGATTTGGGAGATTGCTTGAAAGTGGTTGAAAAATTGCATACTTGAGGTAGTTTTCTCCTAATGCTTATTTGGAATATTGGTGCCTTTTTAGTGAGAATGAGCTTAATGTTTATGGGTAGCATCTCTGGAAACCCTCACGAGACTTCACTCGTCCACTAAGGGTAACCTAGAGGTTTAAAAAGCCTGTTGCATGTGCTAAATGCAATCGTGTTCCCTATGAAAGTGGCGTTATCCATTTATTGCTTTCTATTTCATAGTTGTATAGTTGTTCATTTCTTTATTTCCTTTATAGTTCATTGCTAGGGA